ACAAATGGAGCGTGGTATGTAGGAGGTTTGGATCTATAAAACTAAGTTGGGAGCACTGGAACTTGATTTTTATGTTGCTGGTCATCCTTCACAAAAGCACCTAGGAAGACACAGGTTTTCAGATTCCCAGTCTCCTTTTTGTCACTTCATACAAAATCATATATATATATATATATATATATATATATATATATATATATATATATATATACACACACACACACACACATACATATATATGTATTATATACATATATTATAAAAATTCATTACTGAGGTCACTGTTAGCTTGGACTTTACTTCTAAATTTTGTTATTATTTCATTTTTCTATTGCACATTTATTTAACCAATCCAAAACTATAATTGAATATGTGCAAGACATTTTGGTAGCATTTTTACTCTTTAGTCCATCTCTTCTCTAACTCTTCAGATTTCCCAGAATTCTACCAAGACAAATCTAACCTTAAAGATGACAGGGGGTCTTTGAAAAACTTAATAGGACTCCATTTCTAGCTCATTTCTATAAATGCACATAAACACACACGATCTTTCATAATTGCTTTCTGTTTCACCTACTGTTAATATATGCTTGTATCACAAGGATAGGTAAGAAAGGTCCACCATATTGTACCTCTTCCCTGTGCCAGGCACAGAGCCAGTTCTGTGCTTGATGTACATGATGTCTTTTAGTCTTCACTACTTGTCCCAAATCTCATAACTAGTTTATATAAATGAGTGATTTTGAGCCTTATGTTAGTCAGCTTTCGTCACTGTGACCACAATACCTGACAAGAGCAACTTAGAGGAGAAAAGTTTGTTTTGGACTCACAGTTCAAGATATCCAGTACATGGTTAGCCAACTCCACTGTTTTGGGACCAAGGTGAACTAGAACATCATAGCAGAAGGTGTAGCTGAGGAAAGCTGTCCCCTCACAAGAGCTGGGAAACACAGAGTACATGGACTCTGGGATAACACAAAATCCTTAAAGGCAAAAGTCCAGTGACTTACTTTCTCCACCCACACACCAGCTGCTGACAGTAACTATACAGAAATTCATTCAGATTTATTCAAATTATTAATCTACCAACAGGATTAATCCAGTGGTGAAGTTACAGCTCATAATCTAACCATTTCACCTCTGAACAATCCTGAATTGAGTAACATGAATTTGGGGGGGAAATACCTCAAATCCCAATCAGAACAAGAGTTTACAAAGTTCTTGAGAATGATCTTCCTACACTTGAAAATGATCTTACTACACTACTTCTAGAGTTTTCTAAGTAGAAACATCTCTGTATCATCATTTGTTTACCACCATCAGTTCTGCTGTTTCCATGTTGTTCCTTTCCTACCAGATGCACATTGATTTAACTCATCTCTATTTCATTTAGAAAAAGAAATGGTTAATTAAAGGGGCTTATTAAACTATGATGGAAGTCACTCTATTTCCATACTAGGCACCTTAGCTCCCTGTTGCAAATGAGGACCTTGTCTATTTGACCCTGAGTTTCAGCAGCAGCAAGACAGGAACCTAGAAAGCAATCTAACTGGTTGGCTGTAAAGGGAATTTACCAAGCCTCACTCCCTCTCCTTATGCAAAAATATTTACCAAACAAAAATTTGTTTTCCCATTTAAGCTAGCTAGAGATGGACATTAGGGGACTTCCAGAGTATCTGACATTACCAGTATAGATGGGTTAATGATAAACTATCCTTAAGACACAGCATGGCTATTTCTGGAATATGTCATTTTAAAGTTAGAGAACAATACCTGACCTGTAAACATAAACCACATGAATTGGAACCTTATATCAAATCCATATATGACCTTAATTAAGCATATTAAAAGGAGGATAAAACAAAAAACCTAAATATTGGGAATTCAGGAATCAATAGATTAAGACCCATTGATAGCATCATAAAAGCATGTCAGGAAGCAGTCTTTTCTGTCCTTATTTTGGAAATTTATTTACAGAAACCATGTAAATCTTACAAGTCATTTTTACTTAATAGAAATTTGTAGTAATTATTATGATTTGCATTGAGTGACTTACAAATTCAAAAAAAAAATTAAAAGAACAGAATGGAATTGCTAGAACAGAAGGTTAACAGACTTTTGTTGTTATTTTTTGGTTTTAGAGGTGACCCTGCTTAAGGAAACTCATCATATATTAAAAACCTAATTTGACAAACAGGTCCTCATGTGAATTAATTTAATGTAAAACACTCAGTAGATAAACAAAATTTAAAAGCTATAAAATATGAGAAATACATCCATCAGTTCAAATGCCATAATTCTTTTTTTTAATCATGTAAATCTGAAAGCCTTTATTATGGGATAAGGTGGAACAGGCTTCACACATCATTCTCTATTAAGTTATTATCAGCTGACTATTTTCAAAGAATAAAACTTTCTCAAGTGTTAACACAAATTCTCACTATTTAATTTCTGGAAGAAATAGGGAGTTTTTTTTCCAAGGAGGCAGTTGTACTAAGAA